CTTGCCCGAGAGTGGTGCTGTGGGGACACCCTTGGGACCTCATGGATTCTGTGTGGTGTTTTTTGGATAGATCTCATGTTTTTTTTCCCAAATGTTGGTCACATTTTAAGTTGTAACTGTAAACTTTAGGGATATATACTTTGCCCCTTTTTGAGGCATGTTTGATCATTGTTGTGGATTTGTTGTTTCGTTGATTTGCCACCTTTACTTTAGTTCTTGGATTCTTGGACAGACACCGCCCTATTGAATTTGGGGTTTTTCTCAACATCGATTGCTGCTGATTTATCGCTGCGGAAGACCCCTGGCAGAGCAGTGCTGTGTATTGAAATTCCAGCATGATGTCAATATATTACAGGGATTGGTAAATGTCCCATTTTGGGTATATAAAGGACATCACCTTATAGTAGCCATTATAGACCATATACCTAATGGTTGGGTGATGTTCAATGGGGACATTTAATGACCCATGTATTAGGCTGTGCCGAACCTTTGATCAAAAGATCCAAATACGTGGAACCTCCTTTTTGTCGGTTTCAAGTTTCAAACATGAAACAAAACAATAACTACTGGATCAACACAAAAGAACTTGATGACTCCCGAAATTCACAGATGTAATATATATATATGGGTAAATTCTAACGACCTCACTGCGACCTCACTGGAATCATGGTTTATAAGAGGAATCATCCCAAAATGGCTTTAATTCAGTTCAGTGAATTATGATAATTTACCCATATATATATATATACATAGATTATGTGATACTGTATTAGTCTTCATAATATGTTAGAACACATGGACCAAAGGTCAGTGCCTCGTCGACCTTAGGCAATGACCTTAGGTTTCCTGGTGGGTTCTGTGGTTCGAGTCTGGAGTCTCAGATCCAGCGATGGGAAATGATTGACCCATGGGGAAAGCCACGGGCAAAGCTAAATATCCTGAAACTGTATACTCAGTATATATTCAAGATATTTTCAGTATATATTCAGTATATATTCAGTATATTCTATAAGTCATCCTAACCAGGAATCTGATTCATTCTGTGATGGGTTGAAAGATGTTGAAACCACCCATAGCCTCTGGTAATCAAACATGGCTAACTGCAAAAACTATATATATAAACCTCCATTGAGTTCGCGGGTTTCCGAGCCAGCTACCTTTGCTTACCGGAGGGTACATACATTATAGATCAGTATAGTTGGAAGGGTCATGGGTTGCAACCTTCAACCAGATGGCTGAGATATGGATGCTTGATGGAGACCTCAAAATGACATCACTATTGACTCATTAAAGGAAGGGGAACGCAGAATTGGTTATCCGATACAATGATCCCCAAAACGATTGAAAAAAACAATGATCTTCAAAACACTACCGCAGTATGGTGGTGGCTACGTTCCTATCTTTTTAAATCAGCAACACAAAGGCTTGGTTTTTTGAGTTGGAACAGAACTATATCAGTTTGATCCTCATGTTTCCTATTGAAATGACCATAATTTCGGAGTGAATCTCCCATTCTGGCTCTTTGGCCACATCATATTGGGTGCATCATTGGATCCCATTGGATCCCATGGGTTGCTTACAGTAGATCCCCACATTGTGACTCATAGGAACTTGTCCAAGGTCACCCAAATCCAATAATGACAATAGCTATCAGGCTCTACAGCTCGAGCAAGAAGAAGCCCTGCTGAATTTCAGGTGAGGACGGAGCTGGAAGTTGGCTTAGCACCTTGCTGAGAGGGGAAGTTGGAGGTAAAAGTTGGGGTAGGGAGTTTCAGTTTGGTTCCTCAGAGGTACTTAGAGGCATGTGTCTTTTTTGCTTGAGATTGAGATGATATGAAATTTGGAGAGTCCGCAACTAATCCTGATGCATCCTGCTTTTGGCAGTGCCACTAGATGGCCAAATCATGTTGCAGCTGTCTCCGCTCCCAATCTTTCTGCAGGGGGTCATTTTTCTTTTATGCTGGAATCTCAGCTTTCCCATCGCTGTTTCATTGACCATTCACGATTTTGGCACAGTTGTGCTACAGTACTTCCAAGTAGTTAGTTCATTGGATGAATCAAATCGATAGAGTGTAGAAAATAGTAGTCAAAGACAAAGAGGTGCAGAATGTAAAGAATTATAAAGAGGATATACACACAGTACGCATATTATATATAATACCTAATATAATATGATTTGATATGTACGCATTAACATCAACGAATCCTATCGCGGCCCGACGACATGGCCGCCTCGGCTTCCGAGGTGTTGCTTCCTCCCATCATCTTCGAAGCTGGCTTGCGAGAAGCTGAGACTTCACTACCGGACCCAAAAATAGTCCAAGTCATGGACCATTTTAAGATTGAAAGCCATGGTGAATTGGGGTACCTCCATTTTAGGAAACCCTCATTAATAGATGATTAAAACATATCAAAATATATCAAACCACCCATTGATCATTGATTTTTTTGAGTGGAATCTGCAATTAGATATTATAGAATGGGATACAACCAACAATTT